AGCGGGTGCGAAGGGCCGGGGGCGCGGGTTGCGGCCGGGGCGCAGCGCGTCCTTCTTGCTTTCCAGGTGCGCGTCCCGAGGGACCATGGAGCCGGGGCCGCGCCCCGCCGGCAGCAGCTGCGGCAGCCCCGCCGGCCTCTCCCGGGAGTACAAGCTGGTGATGCTGGGCGCCGGCGGCGTGGGGAAAAGCGGTAGGTGCCCTGTGCTTCCATTTCCCAAGAAGAGCTCATCCCCACCCACACCAGATGGGAGGCTGACACTTGTTCTTTCCGGGGGTCACCTCTGTGGATTTTAACTTTCGCTTCTTGTTTTGAAGCCATGACCATGCAGTTCATCAGCCACCGATTTCCAGAAGATCACGACCCCACCATTGGTAAGTCGAGTTACCACCTAAGTTTCTAAATAAACTGTATGGATCCGTCTTGGTGTCAGTTTTTGAAACCGTTTTTAACTACTTCTTTTTGGAGCCTTTGTGGATGTCCTTACAAGATTTTTTAACAAGAGTTTCATAGTACTGGGTGAACAGATAATTCTTTTTTTCTCCCTCGGTGGGTCGATAAGCCGTCTTTGGTGTCTGTCTTTTCTTGAACGTTCATGGAACACTTTGGTCCGTTAGGTTTTCGGGGTTCCCAGGCTGTATTGCCAGGTAAAAGGAAAAGCGTCCACGCCTCGAAGCCGTTTGCTGTCACTTCTCTAAGGGTCTCTGGCTCTGTAACTATGAGTCAGCTGGTTTGAACTTCCACAAAAGGAAGCAGAAAAACAAGTCCAGCCAGCCTGCTGAAGTCTGACAACTCAGACCTGCAGCCTGGACTTCTTCCACTGGAAGCTCTTTGTTTACTTCCTTATTCCTCAAGTTTATTACATAGTAAGGTCGTCTTTCGTGTCTTCTGTAATTCTTAGTGCTCTGTTGTTGGCAAAACACTGGTGGAGGAAAAAGAAATTTTGTTTGGCCTTTTCAAAAAAGTTGCTGTTCTCTACAAAGACTATTACTGTCATTCCTGAACTATAAGGAAGCAGGTTTGATTCTAAGGGGTTAAAGATACAAAGAAAAATGGAGGGGAGGGGATGGTGAGGACGGGTGCCATACTACTAGTATTTTCAGAGTGTCACGATCCTGGGTCTCTAGGGAGGATTTCCACTGGGTCAGGCCTCTGCCACCCTGTTTTTCACAAAGCCAGTGAGAGAGTTCTGTGCCCAGCCAGGTTTGGATGCAGTCGTTTTATATAGCCCATGCTTCTGTCGCTTGAGGAAAAGAGAAACACTGCTTGTTTTTTTAAATGTACAGCATTGCTCAGGGATTCAAACTATGCTGAGAATTCTAGAAATAAACTCAGTTTAGGGCTTAAGATAATTTACTTAGAACTTCACAAATATTTTTTTTCTTTAAAGCAAAACTTGTATGTGTTCTCTGAAAGAGCTAATTTTTTTAATCAGTTGATTTCCCCCCCCCATCAGCTGCTCTCCTGACAATACCATCTGATTCAACAGCATTTACTTCCGTGTCTTGAGTTCCCATTATGTGCTAAGTACTGTTGTAGGTCCTGGGAGTTCAGTGGTGAACAAAAAGATACAGTAGTTGCTCTCATGGAGTTTACTATTTAGGGCCTTTTCTTAGGGGGCTTTGTTGCAAACTTTGGCTGCTAACTCTGAGAAGAAAAATTCTACATTGAAGCTAGTACATGTGCAAGTATGTGTACATGGTACATATACACACATAACTAAAATACCAGGAAACTGTGTTTATGTCACTGCATGTGGTATGCTCTTGTGTTTTTTCTTGTAGATTTTTGCTTGTTTATTTTAATGCTGGTCCCAACCCATTAAATTCATTCACAACTCCCTAATCCTAGCGGATCATGGCCTGTAGTTTGAGAAACACTGGTTCAGTGGGCTCTTTGAGGAAGAGTCATGAGCAGGGGTTCAAGAAAAAATACTGAAATACACTGGGGTGTAAGCAGCAAATGCTTGAATGATGAAAATATTGAGTGGGTTTTTTTCTTTTTTTTTTAAATTTCCTTGCATTTTCAAGGTTCCTATAATAATACACATAAAGAAATTTCTTCCCATAAAGGAGAAATTATGACAATATGGATTATTTAGAAAAAAGTAAATGATTTTTTTTTCTTGTATAGTATTAAAATGAGGAGGAACCATAGTATTTGGTTAAGTAGATAAGGCTTTTGAATCAAGCAGCCCTTGGTTTTAATTCTGGCTGTATAATTAACTTTGTAATATGGGAAAGACATTTAATGTTTCAGAGTTTAATTTTCTTTATCTGTAAAGTGGAGATAATACTACTGTGGATTGGTATATTTGTTACTATTCGAATATTGCCACTGTTGAATGAATTAAAGTATATAGTTTACTTAGTGTAATGCCTGGAATCTAATAACTATTTAACAAATGGTAAAGTTACTTTTGGAGCCTAATTTTTGGGGGGCAGGGGGAGAGGCAGAAGGAGAGAGAGAATCTTAAGCAGGTTCCACGTCCAGCTCGGAGCCCAGTGCAGGGCTCAATCTCACAACCCTGAGATCATGACCTGTGCTGAAATCAAGAGTCGGACGCTTAACTAACTGAGCCACCGAGGTGCCCCAGAGCCTAATATTTTTTAAAAAGACAGAATCCTTTTTTAGCCTAGAATTTTAGATGAAGTCTTACAAATATAAACAATGAATAAACCTATGTCATCACTTAGGTGAAAAACACAAAACAACTCACTTGAAGATCTAATTTGCATATCTCAATGGATTGAGCATGCTTCCTGAGAAAATCTGGACATTTAAAGAACTCGTGTATAATCTACTTCTCTATAAGATGAATTTTAAAATAAGGTTGCATGGTGCCAGGCTGGCTCAGTTGGTAGAGCATTCGACTCTTGATCTTGGCGTCCTGAGTTTGAGCCCCACTTTGGGCTTAGAGATTACTCAAAAAAGAAAAAAGTTAAAATAAGGTTACATAATTCCTGTGCTTATGGGTTTATAGTACACCTTTCTTCCCTCCTGTAGAAGATGCTTATAAAATCCGGATCCGTATTGATGATGAACCTGCCAACCTGGACATTTTGGATACGGCTGGACAGGTATTAAATCTCAGAATGCTACGTGTAGAGGTGTTTTTCACTCTAGTAGAGGGGAGGGGAAGGCTTACACAGAGAAGATCACCAGTTCATCTCTCTTAATTTTTCATGCTCTCTGACTCAGGATAGCAGGTAATTGGTATATGTGTCTTCTTTGATCTGAAATCGTAGCTAATGTGTGTGCAGCCCTAGGTTTCATCACTTCCATTAATGATCCGGTTCCCCTGCAGGCAGAGTTTACAGCCATGCGGGATCAGTATATGAGGGCAGGAGAAGGGTTTATCATCTGTTACTCTATCACCGATCGTCGAAGTTTCCATGAAGTTCGGGAATTTAAGCAGCTTATTTACAGAGTTCGACGCACTGATGATACACCTGTGGTTCTGGTGGGAAACAAGTCTGACCTAAAGCAGCTAAGACAGGTGAGGAGAGAGCAGAAATGCAGTCTGTGGTCTCAGGTTGGTCGTCGTCGTTTCACTGTACGTAGATTCCTTTGCTTTAAAATAAAAGTTTTAAAGTAACTTTTCTTTAACCTTAGAAATTTCTCTAAATCTACTGATTTGCAATTGGATAAAACCCTGGATTTTAGAAATCAGTTTACAGGATAAAATCCACAGTGTGGTAATCAGATGACAAATAGAGTACATATTACAGAAGGATCATGGAATGTTCCTAAAACCTTAGAAAATAATCAACCAATCTGTCAGTTTATGTTGCAGCAGGACAAATGTAGCTTAGACTTCAAGATATACTTCCTGATGGTGAAGATCATGAAGGGGACCTGGAAGGGGAGAAAAGGAGAAATTGTAGAGGATTCTAAAGTAAGCTGGACTCCCCAGACTGGCGACAATGTATAGAATCTGGCTGTCTGGTGTAGAGTTGAGGGAATAGTGGACAGGCATATTGGGACCACTGGTGGAAGCAGCGGAGTGGGTACAGACTTTTCGGAAGTAGTCTGACAGTAGATAAGTTCACAATGCTTCTCACTTAATGCCTGTTTGAAAAATCTGTCCAGGAATTTATATATAAAATGTTGGTTGCCAGGCTGCTTGTAGTAGCAAAAAGTTAAAAAAAGTCTAAATGTTCAGATCTAGGAGAAATTATGGTCTCTCCCTAATTGGCTATATCAGTTTTGGGTTTCTTACATAGTTGGATTAGAAATAAATCACTTCATAGGAAGGAGGAGTTGAGCTCTCTTTCTGTTCAGATTGCCCCTTCATTTTTCACTTCTGGGGGCAGTTGTGATTGTTTTCTGTGGTCGCCACTGTGCATTTTCTCATGTTTACATTTTTAAAGGTCACCAAGGAAGAAGGACTGGCTTTGGCGCGAGAATTCAGCTGTCCCTTTTTTGAGACGTCTGCTGCATACCGCTACTACATTGATGATGTGTTCCATGCCCTTGTACGGGAGATACGTAGGAAAGAGAAGGAGGCAGTGCTGGCCATGGAGAAAAAGTCTAAACCCAAAACCAGTGTATGGAAGCGGCTGAAATCACCATTCCGGAAGAAGAAGGACTCCGTAACTTGAAGGGAGGATGTGCGTGTTCGCCTGTGAACCTCAGGGTTTACTCCGAGCAACCCAGTGGCCTGCACGAGTGAGCGTGGCGCTTGCTCCTTCTCCTGTCGTGACCGTTCCTCTAAATGTAACTGATGAAGGGGGTATGCCTAGTGGGAGTCTTCAGTGACGTGGTGTTTAGAATACTGTCTTTTTAGCTAATTCTGATTTATTAACCCAGTGGAGCACTGTCTACTTGTAAATTGTCACATTAGAATTTGATCTACCAATGTTTTGGGTTCTGTTCCTGGTATTAGTTAATTAGTGTCGATTGTTTCCACCCTGGGGGAGTTTGTATACCATGTGTGTTTTACGAAACCCACAGGAGGAATTTTCTGCTATGCATTACTCTGTGTCCTTTTCAACTTCGGTTCCCTGAGACCTTCCCAGGGAAGGGCCTCGCTTTCTTCTATTCACAGGTGCTTCCTGGACAAACAGCGAAAACCACGGAAAACCAGGTTCAGGGCATTGCTGTGGAACTGCCTCCTGTCACAGATTAGGGGTTTATGAACTCGGGGACGCCAGGCCGTGGAGGGGGGCGGGCGGGACTCCACGTCAGGACCATGTTCCCAGTGCAAGCCTGGCTTTCCTAGAAAGTGCACATTCAACCCAAATGCACTGAGCTAGGTGAGGATAAGCAGAAGCGAGTGAAATGTATGAAAGTTTCTTCTATGAAGTTATTTTGTTCTTCCTTTCAGGATTTAGCCTTTCCTTAGCTTCCAAGGCCTATGCTTTGGGAGCCATTACTGGATTACTGAACTCTTGTTTAGACCCTTAGTTGGGACAGCCATGGCCTTGTGCAGGTTTATTTTTTTCCCCAGAGATGCGCACACCAGTACATTTGCATTAAGTGCTTCCCAGTGCTTCCCTGTGCTCTCTAGCAGAGCTAGGCCTGGTGGAATGTTCTCTAGGTCCTTCCATCAGACTGACTGCATTGTCCATATGGAAGAGACATCGGGAGTTAGAGTAAAACCATGTATGTGCCTCCTCAACACAATCACTAGACTCCGTGCTCAGAGAAGCCTGGGCGTCTTCTGTGCTAACAAGCCAGGCACGAAGCTTTAGAACTCCTGTGTGTTGAGTTTCTCATTGAAGATTTCTTTGCAGGGACCTTGGGGAGTTCACTGCACAGGGCTGTCTGAGCCTTGACAAAACTTGGCCTAAGAGAATACCACCTCGATATTTGTGCATAGCTGGGGAGCTAGTGTCCTGGGAGGGCACGGCTTCACGTATGGGTGGTGCATTCGCTCTTTTAGAATCAGGATTGTTTGGATATCTGGACTTAACTCTTTGTGGAGGTTAGGTGCAGAAGTGCTAAGAATAATGTGGCACAGATTGAACATTAAACGTCACAGACAGAGTTTGTGACCATCTTAACCCCGAAGCACGCGACTGCAGTGCCATTTAGAAAGTGCGCCCCTCGACTTACTGTTTTCCACTTTACTGACAGGCAGAAGGATAGGCTTATTGTGTTTTTTTCCTCATACTCCATGCGATGTCTGTTCCAGGTTTTTAAAGGTGATGGTTGTGCCTTTTTTTAGCTAGGTCATGGTCCCTTTTGAAACCAAATAAATCACATTTTATAGTACTCAAGCCATCCAATAGTGAAAGACCCAGAATTTGAATCTTTGCAGGCCAGAAATCTGATAGGAACCATAGCACTTTAGAGAAGCATGAAGGTAGAAAAGAAATGCAGTGCAATTCTATTTTAACAGTATTTCACCACATTTAAATTAGCTTAGAGCCTTTTACATGTAGTGCCTTAGCTTCTCATTACTAATGACCTAGGGAATTGTAATTAGCGTCAAGCAAGAACTTGACAGCTGTATAATCATTCAGGACATTCAAGGCAGCAGAGAAGATTGCCAGAAAGATCCATAAGACGGAATTTATATTGTATATAAGAAAAATAACAAATTTGTGTTTTTAAGACTGTCACTGTCCTGTATTTGGTCATTGGATTAATTAGCCCATTAGTATTGAGAATTCTATTCATGGTGCTAAATAGTTTTGAGGGGGTATAATGTGTGTAGGTAACAGCTCTAGTCTTAGTGATCATAATTGTATGTAATTTTATAAGCTCTGAAGAGTCAGGTTTATCCAATTTGAGGGCATTAAAATCCATTACTGCCTGGAACTTTGAAGAGAGAAACATTCAGGGACACATTTGAAAGCACTGGGACCGGGGCGCCTGGGTGGCTCAGTTGGTTAAGCGACTGCCTTCGGCTCAGGTCATGATCCTGGAGTCCCAGGATCGAGTCCCATGTCGGGCTCCCTGCTCAGCGGGGAGTCTGTTTCTCCCTCTGACCCTCTTCCCTCTCATGCTCTCTGTCTCTCATTCTCTCTCTCTCTCTCTCAAATAAATAAATAAAATCTTTAAAAAAAGAAAGCACTGGGACTGTTGATGCCTGTTCCCAATTGTTAATTTAGAAAATTTAGAGTGAGCTGTTAGAATTCAGGAGGGGATATGTTTAATTTTATTATATTTTAGCAAGAATTGGTCTACTGTGATGTTTGGGGGTGGGAGAAGGAAGAGTAGTCTTTCACTTAACGCATGTGTATATGAAGACAGTCTATATGACACAATACAGAACTTTTAAACAACTTGTTGGGCTTCTCCTTTACTTACCTGTGTGTGGGTGGAAATGCTTAGAATCATTGCACAAAGGTCATTTTAAGAAAATACAATACCATGAGATTTTATGTTCTGGAAAATACGGATTCAAAAATGTGAGTGCCTACCATGTGCAGGACACCTGTGTTGAGTGCGTTGGGGCGTGGCATGGAATGCCCTTCCATTTAGAGAGAGGACCTCGGCTCTTGGGCAGGTGGACAGGCTGCAGGGAGGTGAGGCACCGCGGTCCAGCTGCCAAAGAGTCTCCATGTGACAGTGAGTGGGGTTCCACCTCTTAAGTGACTCTGGACTCTGGTTCCCCACCGCGGGCACTGTTCCTGTCCTGGCTTCGGCAGCCAGGACGCTTAAGGGTGCTTGGTGTTTGGCCAGGCGGCGTGAACTGCTGCCCCTGGGATGGGGCTGGGGGGGGCGGGGGCGGGCAGGTACCTGAGGAAGCCTACTGAGACCCTGTGTGCAGAGAGGTGGAGTGGTGGGGAGACAGAAAAAATACATTGGAGCTGATGGCGTGTTTGCCACCTGATGAAGGGTTCAAGCTGTTTCAAGTGTGGAAACTAAATGTGAGACCGTGAGGAGTCATTGCCTTATGTGAAGGTCATTGGTTTTGTCTCTACTACTAAAAATGGGCATTGGCGTTTGTGGAGAGGACTTGGTTTGGACCTTAAAAGGAATGTGTTTTTGTGTTGTCATTACTTGTGTTGAGCAGGTCAGCATTGGTCATCAGGGTCCACTCTTGAATCGGGTAGTGGAGGAGCAGCATTCCCTTTCCTAAGCTAGCCTCTTAGGCGAGGCACGGTGGTTCCATCAAAGTGTTCGTGGGTCTCCTCTGTGCACTGAGCACCATGTGAGACTGGGATTCGAAGGGATAGACAGTATCCCTGCTCTTGAGCTTTGACAAAATCAGCAGATATGGCTGGAGGTGGATTGTGAAGTAGGAGATGACCTGCTTCCAACTGGGAATGTTACAGAAATCCAGAGAAGGAAGGCCCCTGCAGGGCTGGGTCCAGCAGGGCACTGAGCGCTAATGGTAGAGCAGGCAAGTCGAGGAGAGGCTGAATTTAACCCGCGTGGAATAATAGAGAAGATCAAAGCGAGGTGATTTCTGAAGTTTCTCCTCATTTCTAGTGTTTATTGCTTATTTTCTTTAAAAAATCATATCAATTTAGGAAGCTCCTGACAGTTGGTAGTGTTTCTCCTTTTCCAAACTTATTGAGAACGGTGACAAAGAAATTGAAAGTCTTACTTTTTAGGAGTCTGTGTTAACATGGACAAGTGCTTGACTTTAAGAGATGGTTCAGTACTGAAAATGGATTTGTAGTCATCCTGGATTTGCTCAGCTTCAAATTAAAGTTTGTAATCAGGGGCTCCTGGCTGGCTCAGTCCGTTGAGCATCCAACTCTTGATTTCGGCTCAGGTCATGATCTTAGGGTTGTGAGATTGAGCCGCCAGTCGGGCTCTGCACTCAGTGGGGAGTGTCCTTGGGCTTCCTCCCTCTCTCCCTCTGCCCCTCCCCGCCTGCTGCCCAAGCACCCCGTGCTCAGTCTCTAAGATAAATAAAATCTTTAAAGTTTGTGTTCAAACTCTGTTCATACATTCATCAACTCAGCTGGAACTGAAGCTTGTGGCCTGGCCTCACAGGGAAGTGGTTGGAGGCCTGAGTTCTCTGATGATCACTCGCCCTGTCCTCACATACCTCTAAATGCTTTTGCTGCACAAATTAATTTTGTCTTTCTCTTCTTCCCACTAAGAATTGTATTAAATAATTAGGTATAACATAAGTTAGAATAATTAAGAAAATAGTGTATTTGTATTTTACTCAATTTTTGACAAGTTTTTTTCAGTGGCAGTTGGAAGCAGAGCCTCGCTGTTGTGCTTGGTTTGCTGGTTGTCCGCGGCTCGGTGCTGTTCTCTTCCCGTGTGGCCGGACTGCACCCACATCTTTGGGGAAAGCCAGAGCCGCCTCAGCTCCTGTCTGTGGAAAGCGCCTTGTCTCTCGATGAGTGGAGTTGGCTTGCTGCTTGTCTGGTGCACAGGACCAAGCATGGTCTGGAAGGCAGGATGGAGTTTAGATTTTGGGAAAATGCAGCCAGACAGCATAATTGAGTCAACCCATACTTAGAGCCTTGCAGACCTATTTCCCTTCACTGTCCAGATGGTTGGAGCTGGGGCAAGGGTAGCTTTAGGCTAACATGATTTAGTGGACGTAACCAAAGACTCCTAGCACGTGGTTTCTGCTCCCAGGGGCGTACAATGGATTGGGAAGGCAGGGCAATTCATAGGCAACCTAAAACCATGTTACATCGACTAATTAAAAGAAAACAGGAAGATTTGGATCAAATTGGTAGGTAGAATTAGGCCATGAAGATTTCTCAAAAAGTGAAGATGCATGACTTGGAACCACAGAAAAGTCAAGCGTCCTGTATGTAGGACGGCTCCAGCGCAGGATTGGAGAGGGGGTGAGTCAAGATGGGGTGAGCATCGAGAAGCCCACTGTGGCTCGGAGGACACAGCAGGACACCCACAGGGCGGGGCTGAGTGCGGGGGACGCCGCGAGGGCTTGAAGTGGGCGTGGCTCCCAAGTACCTGTCCACTCTGGAT